TTCCTGCCTACATGGGAATGAATATTAGGTCCCAAATAATGGGATTCAAATAACATTTGTAATACAAAGAAAGGGTATTTTTTTAAAATTTATGTGACTCAAAATGAAATAATCCTAGGTTAGACACTTCTGCTTTAACTAAAATCACTTTTACATTTGGTGCAGTATTTTAATAGTTAAAAATATATTAAATAGAACCAAATTATGCCAGGCTAAGACAGCTATGGAGAGAAAAGTATGTGGTTAAACAAGGTTTTCTTTAAAGGAGTAATAAATTTTAAATGAAAAAGTCAAGGCACTGCAACTGTCAATCCAGGTCTCTTGTTACCCAACAATAACCTTAAGGTTGATTTATGGACCTTTTCTGAAAATCACATGGTTAAAAAGTTACTTTTGCACACCTGGATGATACTTGCTTGCTTTATGACCTCTTTGACAAAAGGAACTTTACAAGAAAGAATGACAACAAACCCCAAAACACAGCAAGCAAAAACCTCTTGGGTAAACAGAATCCTTTTGGGTAGTTTGCATTCTCTATTATTATCTCCTCTGTCATTACAACAAAATTGTACAACATGAATGATATATCAGATTATCTACTACATTTTGGTCAGACACAGACTCCTAAGGGGCTAAATAATTTCAAAACCTAAAGTTTGTTGGCAGTTGAAGAAGAATGAAAAAGAGCCCTACAGCTTAATTCTTCCACTATTTATCTCACTGTCAATTTCAGGCTTTTCTACTACTTACTGCATATGTTATTCTGATCCCCATCACTTCAGTCTGTTTTGTGACACATGTTGAACTTATTTCCTCCAGAGTCATTATTTCCAATTTGCTGCTTCCATTTTTATGCAGAACCCCCTTCTCAAATGCTGGGTACTTTGCAAAAATTTTTACTAAGGGTTGGGAAGAGTTGTGCCTAGAATCGTACAAATAGTATGATAAAGCATATTACACAGCTCTTCATACTATTGCATCAACACAGTAAAATATTATACACCTCCTGGGAATGTGGCTTAGTGGTAGAGTGCTTGCCTAGCATACATGAAGCCCTGGGTTCGATTCCTCAGTACCACAGAAAAAGAAAAGGCCAAAAGTGGTGCTGGTGGCTCAAGTGGCAGAATGCTAGCCTTGAGCAAAAGCAGTTCAGCAAAAAGTGCCCAGTCTCTGAGTTCAAGCCCTATGACTGGCAAAAACAACACCACCACCACCTCTAATATCATAGATTCATCAAACTGCAGCTAGAAAGTTAGAGGAAATTAAATTACACAATGTAGTGTAATTTTAAAGTTAGAGGAAAATATAGATTTTAGTGTCACTTTGAAGCTAAAACAAAATTACAGGTTTCAAATACAAGGTTCAAACAAGAGTCTATCAAACTCCCTATCTGAACAGTAAGAGTAGTTCAGATAAATTTAAGTGTACATGTTCTTTTGCTGGTTTTTATCAGAGAAAGAAACTGTATTTTTAGATGAATCATGAGAATTTTACTTTCAATTGTCCTTCCTCCATAAATAACCAGAATTATTCTTGTTTTTCTTCTACTTCGGTAACTCTTTAGAATATTCCAATTATCTCAATGCCAATTAAATGTTCAATGATGCTGACCTACATTGAGGATCCTGACTAAATACATTAAAATATTTTTGAAACAGAAAGCTATATAAATCATTCCTTTTATTTAGGTGGTACAAAAACATACACACAGGGTCTCACACTCACTTGGCTTCCTTGTTCATGGCTGGTGCTCTACTTCAGCCATGCCTTCAGCCATGCCTCCAGCCATGCTTTCAGCTCTTTAATTAAGAGATGGAATTTCCTAGCCTTTTCTGCCTGGGCTGACCTTGAACAAATTCCTTCAGATTTCAGCCTCTTCTGAGTAGCAAGGATTACAGGTATGATCCAGTAATGGCTAGCCATTAAGTATTATTGATATTTATTATATCGAGTGTCTCTTCTATTAATGCATAACACATACAGTGAAAGACAGAAACAGTATCCCATAGTTAGAAAGATCTAATAGTTAGAAAGAATCTAATATATGAACTTAAACAGAGTTGATTCTTCTATTCCTAAAACTCTTATGGCAACTACCATGAGAATTACTGGGAAATCATCTGCAATTAAGGAAAAAAAATATCTGGGATTCATTTGGAAAGCAGGAGAAATTGAGGAACTAATTTCAGAGTAGTTCAACTTCTGATTCTAACTACACAAACTAAAGGCAAGAAGCTATTACTTAGCAGATCCGAATAAACATTCTGGCTTTTAACTTTGGTTTTTATTTTGTTGTTAATGAGTTTAAGTTCCATAGCAGTTCACAAAGTGAAACTGACATCTTGGACTGCATAGCAGAAGTATAGCATTCAGTAAGCTTTGTATACATTAGACTAAATTTAAGCTATCACAGCATTCATTTATGATGTTTACAATTTCATATTAAAAAGGAAAAATGAATAAAATATCAGAAAAAAATTAGAAAATGCTGAAAATATAAAGCCAAGTTAAATAATCCAATATGTCAAACCTGGAAAAGACTGGTTAGTGGGACTGTGTACAGACATATAAATGTTCTCAAAAATAATAATAAAAAAAAGCTCATTAGTGGAGTGCTAGAATGAGGAGGGATGGAAAGGAGTGGAAGAAGAGGGTCAGGATAAAGTTACTAGGAGAGGGAAAAACTGTTACAAATATTAGAATAAAACCACGCTTACATGTAGAACAGGGAGATAAACAGCTGCTGGTTTTATGAAAAGAACTAATTGCCCAAGGCAAAGAAAGACTTAAAATAACTCTAGAAAGGACTGCCCTAAATAATCCCTAACTCTAAAAACATTCTTTTAAAGTTTGTGTGTCAAATGCATATATTTTATTGTGATTTTTTTCTCTAATAGAAAACTAAATATATTTCTAATTTTATGTTAACATAGCCTGAAAATCCCAATGACAAATACTAAAAATGGCATTATACTATGACAAAAAGGTAAAAATCAATGGAGCTTTGACATTCAGAGGATGAGAGTATTTACATTATCATATAAAAATTCATAATTTATAGATCTGAGAATCATTCAGTTGGAAAAAGTCTAATGAACTACATTCTAAAAGATTGAACTTCCGAGAAATGTTGTTTCAAGTACATTCCAAGAATGTACTTCAAAGAATTTAATACAGGGACTGGGAAGGTGGCTCAGTGGTAGAGTGCTTGCCTTGCATGCCTGAGGCCCTGGTTTCATTTCTCAGCACCACATAAGCAAAAAGAAAAAAGCCAGAAGTGGCACTGTGGCTCAAGTGGTAGAGCACTTGCCTTGAGCTGAAGGGCACAGGGACAGCGCCCAGGCCCAGAGTTCAAGCCCCATGACCCACAAATAAATAGTATGGATGAAAATCTCATCAGCAATTCAACAAAGAGTTAATATTCAGAATATGCAAAGAGCTCAAAAATATAAAAGAACTAAGAAATGTACTCCTTATCTTGCCCATGTAATTGCAACCCCTCTGTACAGTATTTTCACAACAAAAATATATAAAAGAACAAAGAACAAATAATCCAACTAATGAATGAGCAAATGAATTGAACAGAAAATGGCTGATAAATGAAGAAATGCTCAACATCCTTAGCCATAAAGGAAATGCAAATCAAAACTACACTAAGATTCCAGCATTCACCAGGAAAACAAATAAAAACAAATATAGGCAGGACAGTCTTTTTCTATTCTATTGGTGGGGATGTAAATTATTATAACTGACTCTGTAAAATCAGTATGGCAGTTTCCAAACTTCAAAACAGACCTTTTTTATGACCTATTTATTGTATATTAATATAATTTTCATGTGTTGCAAAATATTTCTTAACTTTTAACTGAAATCCCTGGAGATCCATCTGTCCCAGGAAAAGCCCTCACAGACACAACCAAGTGAGTTTACCAATCTCCTAGGCATTTCTAAATCTAATCACATTGATAAGATAAACTACCACAGAAGTTTTAACTGCTAAGACTGTTTTTTAAACCAATACATTTACTGTACATTTTGAACATCATATTCTAACTACTGAGAATTTTTTCATAGCACAACTAAATAATATACAAATAATACTCTATAACATTTTCAAAGTATGGGGCTGGGAAGGTGGCTCAGTGGTAGACCGCTTGCCTTGCATGCATGAGACCCTGGGTTCGATTCCCCAGCACCACATAAGCAAAAAGGAAAAAAGCCGGAAGTGGCACTGTGGCTCAAGTGGTAGAGCGCTAGCCTTGAGCTGAAGAGCTGAGGGACAGCGCCCAGGCCCAGAGTTCAAGCCCACGACCGAACCCCCCCCAAAAAAATTTTTTTTCAAAGTAATGCAATACAGAAAGAAAATGGACTTGATTTTGCCATATAGTTTTGCTTAAACTTTAAAGAACTTTAAAAGGAAATGAGAGTTTTGATATAGTGTGTCAACTGAGTTGTCACCAAAGTATACAGTTCAGAAAAGAGTACCTGGGGCTAAATATAGTTGGATTTCTAATATTTAAAAAGTAATCAAAACATGTATATTTGTATATAGACACAAATGTACATATTCATGTACTTACAAACCAACACATATATAATATGTATGTTTTTCCATTCTCTAAAGCTTCTTGAAGCAAAGATCATTAGTCAGGAAGTGTCTACAGTATGCAACAATGGTGATACTTCAACATTTTGGATACAATGAGGAGTTTTTAAACACAGGAATTAATGTCTTATAAAACAACTAAAATATAAGTGGAACTTACATAGTATTAGTCTACGTTTCTGTTGTCCCTTGCTGCCTATACTAAAAACTAAAAACAAGATATAACTTGTACACAGTGGCCCATTTTAATTTTCCAACACTGTCTAATGATTAGAAAACTAATAGTGAAATAGAAAGTGATTTGATACATACAAGCATTAACAGCAAAAACACCCTGGTAAGATTAAACAACCTAGTTACTAAACCGAACTTACATGTGCATCTTCTTTCTTACCTTATCAATCCTATCTGGGCGATTAGTAGCTGCCAAAATGGTTACATCTTTTAACTGTTCAATTCCATCCATTTCTGTTAAGAGTTGTGCCAAAACACGGTCAGCCACATTCCCAGAACCTGAAGAACTGAGGTTAAAAATACTGTTTTAAACATCTGTTTACTCATCCTCCAATACTTCATCTACTATAGTTATTTTACTTTATGTGTTTTATTTTATGCTGGTACTGAGGCTTGACCTCAGGGCCTGGTGCTTGCAGTCCTTTAGCTTTTTCCCTTCAAGGCTGGTGCTCTACCACTAGAACTACAGCTCTACTTCTGGTTTTTGGTGGTTAACTAAAGACAAGAGTCTAAACTTTTCCTGCCCATGTTGGCTTTAAATTGTAATCCTTTAATCTCAGCCTTGTGAGTAGCTAGGATTATAAGCATGAGCTACCAGCACCTGGTAGCACCTACTATTTTTAAAAGAATTGTTAGTCTGTAAGAATAATGTACAATTCAAAAAATAAAGTACATGTGTGACAAATCATTAAATTACTACATGACCAAACAAAAATAATAGTCAAATGATTAACTTTCCCCATCAAACATGCTTTTGCTCTCCAATATCAAAATGATAAATGACTATCAGCACTGAGAAGCAAGACATATCAAGTATTTCAAATGGTTTATTCACCAAAACATGGTTGTTTAAAGCAAAATGTACATTCTGCATGCCAAGTAAACTAACAAGAAAATGTCCATTTTCAGCAGGTATGAATAAACAATAACTTTGAAAGATAGTTTGGCAGGCTTTTTTTTTTTCAAAACAAAAGATCCTCATAGTACTGGGACATGGTGGCACTATGTCATCCAACCTGTAGGAAGCTGAGATTAGGAAGGCTGGAGTTCCAGGCCTACTCTGGATAAAAGAAACACCATTTCCCGAGCTTCCATTTCCACAGAAGAAGCTGGGCTTAATAGTATGGACTAGTGCTCACGGTCATCTAGGCATATACCCAGGTATTAAAAAGCAAGACAGAGTAGTACTTTGGCTCAAGTGGTAGAGCACTTTTCTTGAGCTGAAGAGCTCAGGGACAGCACCCAGGCCCAAAGTTCAAGCCCAATGACCACCACCACTAAAATGTTTGCTGGGCACCGGTGGCTCACGCCTGCAATCCTAGATACTCAGAAGGCTGAGATCTGAGGGTTGTGGTTCAAAGCCGGCCCAGGCAGGAAAGTTCATGAGACTCTCATCTCCAATGAACCACCAGAAAACCGGAAGAGGCACTGTGGCTCAAGTGGTAGAGCACTAGTCTTGAGCTGAAGAGTTCAGGGACAGTGCCCAAGCCCAGAGTTCAAGCCCCATGACCTTTAAAAAAAAAAAAAAAAAAAAAAAAGCAAGACAGTAATCAGTACAAACAGGGCTGCAGGTGGGGCTTCAGGTGTGGCCAGCTCTAGGCTGGATTCAAATTCAGCCCAGCTTGGTGTTCCTAGTGAGGGGAGGGGAGCAAGCCAACTACTATATTACTTAGTATTGAACAGAAAGGACGAAACATTTGTTTGCACAAAAATTCATATGCAAATATTTCTAGAACCTTTATTCATAATTGCTAAAGCTTGGAAGGAGCCAAATGCCATTTGAAAGGTGAATGAGTAAACAGGTTCATTCAGATAATGGAATACTAAACGGAAAACACTGAAAGGAAATTAACTTTCAAGCATAAAGACACATGGGAAAAACGTTAAATGCACCCTACTACATGAGAAAAAGGCAACACAAAAAGAACTATACCCTGAAGACTTCTGGCTATAGAAATTTTGTATAGGAACACTAAGACATGATGACAACAAAGAGTCTACACAGAAAGTAAGAGGATCAGTGTTGTTAAGACGTGAATGGAACAGGAGGTAAAGATGTGTCACCTTTTATTATTATACTCTTCTATTTACCATGAGTTATTGTTTTTATTTATCTTTAAGGCATTTCTTTGATCTAAATATACTTCATTTCTCCCTGAATTTTGATACAACAGGAGAAAAAAGAAAAAAGGTAAGATTACAATCCTGAGCCACCAGTGCCTGGCTCAACCAATTTTTATATTGAAGAAACACATCTCACAGAGAAAGACAAAGACTTAAGATGAAAGGATGGAAAAAGATTTGAGCAAATGGACCTCTAATAAAACAGACTTTCAATTAAAATCTGTAAATGGAGTCAAGGAAAGGTACTTCACATTAATAAAAAGAAAATCCAGGGCTGGGAATGTAGCTTAGTGGTGGAGTGCTTGCCTAGCATGCATAAAGCCCTGAGCTCAATTCCTCAGTACCACATAAACAGAAAAGCTGTGGCTCAAGTGGTAGAGTGCCAGCCTTGAGCAAAAGAACCGTAGGGACAGTAACCAGGCCCTGAGTTCAAGCCTAGGACTGGCAAACAAACAAACAAAAAAATCCACCAAGAGAAAGTTAGTTAACAGACATTCACCAAATAGTGAATACACCCCAGTAAAACGGGGGAGACTCCCAAACTTCAAGATGGTATTAATTGTTTAATTCTAAAGGAAAATCTGGGAAGTGGCCCTGTAGCTCAAGTGGTAAAGCTAGCCTTGAGCTGAAGAGATGAGGGACAGCACCCAGGCACAGAGTTCAAGACCCACCACTGACAAAAAAAAAAAAACAAAACAACCCAACTGTTTATAAGGTGAATGTCCAACTCCACTGATAACCACATTGATTATAACTTCTAGTTCCTCTGATCCTCCATTCTCTTATTCATAGTAATCTAATACTTAATATATACGTAAGTCATATACATAAGTCCTTACAGTTTCTAAATTCTGTGCTTACGTAGCACGTAAGTGAAGTTACTTCACTGTTTTAAATTCTTCATATTCAAAAACATGCTGCTAATATCTCTAGCCATTTGTAACCAGAGAGAGGACAATCAATGTATTCAATTACTGTTTTGTATAGGAAGGAAAGGTGGTTGCAATTACTGCTGAAGATTGGAGTAAAGGGCATTGTTTAGATTCTTAATGTCCATACTGCCTTTATTTCTCTCTTATCTCCCCAGATGACTGACAACTAGCTGGAGACTGGCATAGAAAAAATGTTTTATGGGCGGAGAAATAATTTTGGCTGACTTTCAAAGATTTACCATAAACCATAAAACTGACAGCTAGGAAATCAAACCCAACTCTAGGAAAAAATTCATGTACAAATGTTTAATCATAATGTGACAAAATGATTTCTCAAAACTTTATAATCTGCTTGAAATAGGCAATATGATATTTGAAAAATGAAAGCATTCAACTATAGAAATATTAAAGCCAGTATTTTTCTTTTTATGGGACCAATTCTGTGGCTTGAATTCAAGGCCTGGCCACTGTCTTGAGGATTTTTTGCTTAAGAAGAGCACTCTATCATTTGAGCCACAGTTCCATTCCTGGCTTTTTGGTGACTAATTGGAAATAAGCCTTACAGACTTCCCTGCCTGGGCTGGTTCTGAATTGTGAGCCTCAGATTTCAGCGTCCAGAGTAGCTAGTATTACAGGTGTGAGCCACTAGAACCCAGCTTTAAAGCGAGACTTTCATAAAATAATTCTTTCCTTTCAGAAGTCAAATCACTTTTCTGAATTATTCCTATTCAAAATGCCATGGACCAAAAGGACAGTATGATATGTAAAGGACCAAATCTAGTTAGCCAATCATTTGTTCATTTGGTTATGTATTTTCCATGGATTCTCTGTACCACATAGCAGATAAGAACAAGTATAGCAGCCTGGCGCCGTGACTCACACCTGTAATCCTAGCTAGTCAGGAGGCTGAGATCTGAGGATCGAGATTCAAAGCCAGCTAGGGCAGGAAAGGCTATGAAACTCTTATCTCCAATAAACCACCAGAAAACCAGCGATGGCACTGTAGTTCAGGTGGTAGAGTGCTAGCTGAGGAATAGCACTCAGGTCCAGAGTTCAAGACCCACAACTGACAAAAAAAAAAAAAAAAGAACAAGTATAGCAGAGAATATGGCTCCCAGAGGTGAGAATACCTAGTAACTGCTAGTTACAGAAAAGATGTGCTAACACCTATCATATAAGTTTGAAATACAATTCAACTATAGGTGAAAACAGCACAAGAACCATACTGAAAATTTCTTTGTGACTCAAAGGGGTCAGTGTGGAGAAATAGGTTCTGTTGGAAGACAGTTTACTAGTTGGTCAGGGTTGGGCTGATAAGGGGGATGACTGAGGATGAATATGATTGAAGTACGATTGTTTGCATGTGTGAAACTAGAACAATAACAATTGCTGAAATTGTTTTAAGAAAGAGGGGAAGAGGTAAGGAAGAATGATAAAGGAGATAATATTGGTTGCAATATTATATATGTATATGGATTATATATATGGATTATATGGATGGAAATGTCACAATAAATTAATCACTTCCTCCTCTACACACACAGACACACACACACACTGCTAATTTTAAAATAATTTTATTATATGGGAATAGAATAAGGAGTGGCTTTACCAAAACGAAACAAACCTTACTGTGACAATACTAAAAATTTCAAAACTAATTGCAAAGAAATCATTCACATAATTGCTTTTGAATTCTAATAAAATAATTCCACCCTACCTCTGTATGAGACTTTTAATTTATAGATCAGTGTCTTATACATCTTTCTTTTGGTAATGCTGGGGTTTGAACTCAGTCCTCTACACCTGCTCTACTTGCTTGCCCAGCTGGAATTCTAACACTGAACCACACTGAACCACACACTTCCACAGCCCACAATTCCTTTAAATTCTAGGGGCTTCTTTCTATTCTTTCTGAAATCACTTCTAATCACATTCCAGAACCTTAAAATTTATGGTATTATGAAATTTTTTAAAATCACCATAAAACTCACATTAAAAAATTTTATAGCCCAGCTCAAGAAGTGTCATTGAGAATAATGATACCTAAAAAAAAAATCCCTAGGTGAGTGCTTAATGCTATGAATTCACCAAATATCCTTGAAGTCTGAAAATGCTGGAAAAGAGGCTGCCTTATTTCTTGATCATTTTTACCTCAGAGATTTTTTTTGTGAATGCAAATCCTGGAATCTTCATTTGCAATGAAAGCTGGCTCAGTTCTTTTCCCCTCATCTCTAAAAAAAGAAATTAACTGAACTATTAAGTGGAGAAACAGCTGTGCAATTATTATCACAGGCTACGTGGGGAGATATTTATATCTCATAGAAGATAAACCAGCCCATGAACTTTTAACTGAGGATTGACTGAATTGCTTTCCATTTCCCTATCAATTTAATCATCTTTTTAACATTCTAATCATACAACAAAATGTCAAAACATTTCAATCATCTTTTTAACATTATAGTCATACAACAAAATGTCAAAACATTTCAATATACTCTTAATAGAAACAGATCAATTTCTTCTTTTCCCAAACAACAAAAATTTAAATTTGGGGCTGGGAAGATGGCTCAGTGGTAGAGCGCTTGCCTTGCATGCCTGAGGCCTTGGGTTCGATTCTTCAGCACCACATAAGCAAAAAAAAAAAAGAAAAAAGCTGGAAGTGGTGCTGTGGCTCAAGTGGTAGAGCGCTAGCCTTGAGCTGAAGAGCTGAGGGACAGCGCCCAGGCCCCACGACCAGACCCAAAAAAAACAAAACAAAACAAAAAAAATTTAAATTTGTAAAATCCTGGATGTCTCTTAGATCTTACGATTTTCTTGTAATTCAACATTATTTATTCAATCTTTGGAACAAGTATGTGTTAAGCATTATTTACATATCAGTCCATAGGAGGTTTATAACTTGTGAAGATAACTCAGAATGATTCTAAGTTCCTTTTAAAAGGGACATTATATTTTTTACTCCTGTAGATACAGGCTTTTTCGTGAGCCTATAATACAATATATACTCTGCAAATGCAAAAATGACTTAGGTAATATACAGAGGGATTACAATTACATGAGTCAGATAATGAGTACAATTCTTTTCATACAGTGGCTTTCGGTCCCTCCCTCTCTCCCAGTCCCACCCTCGCATCTCCACACACAAGTTGTGTAGTTCACTTTCATCGATATTCAGTGAGCATCACTGCTGCACTTTTTCACCCTTTTTCCTCTCTCATGTAAATACATCATACATAAAGAAGACAGGCTCGTCAAAAAATAAAAATTAAAACAAGATCTCCTGTTTTTTATCTTGGAATTCATTTGTATGTGTATAATTTTATATAAATATAAAAAGGCATGTAGGGACTGAGCCTTGGTGTTTCTTAGGATATTTTACTTAGTTTATGTTATTTTACTACCATATCTTCACTTTTCTTTATTATTTTCCCCCACTTTTTTTTTTTTTTAAAGACACAAGGGTCTGATTACGTTACCTACACTGGCCCCAAAGTCCTGGACACAAGTGATTCTCCTACCTCAGCCTCCCAATTAGCTGGGACGACAGGCAGATAACACTTTCATTATGATAAGACTATGTCTACAAAGTGCCTCATTGAATATTACTTTTATTTCAAAAGAATTTTATTTTTTATACATTTGTTATTGTAAAATACTGTACAGAGGGGTTACAGTTACATGAGTAAGGTGATGAGTACATTTCCTATCGAGCATTATTGCCTCCTCCTTTGTTTCTCCCCTACTATCCCTTCTTTCCCCACCTCCCCAATTATTCCCCGCCCTCACTGTCCCCCGCTGAAGTTGTAAAGTTCATTTTCAACATAATGTCTTGTACATCTCATTGTTACAATGGATCAACCTGTATCCCTATTTAAGCATTCTTTTCCCTTCCCATCCACAAATTAGAAATATATATATACAAGATGCAGGGCATTGGAATAAAATACAGTGAAAACAGGGGTTATATTGTAGAGGAGGAACATACAAAGAAACAACAAAAAAAAAAAATCACATAGTACATTAACTCTGCTACCCATTCTACCTTCCATGTAGCTCATATTTAACCCATGTATCTTACTGCTAAGACTATTTGTATTCTCTGCTTCTCATATTTCCTGATGTACATGTTAAATAGGTTTATTTTTAAAAAAATCAGATGGCTATCATGTCACAGAAATATGGCAGGTCATCCCACTTCTGCAAACTTCTCTGGCTTCTTTTTCTTCATTGATAGGTAAGGCAAACGAGTTATTTGTGCCTTTTGTACCATCTCAAACACAATAGTGATACATGAGTCAGCAAATGGGTGTAGTGTGGTACAGAGTAATCAAAGCTCCTAAGTTTCTTAGTGAAAATTTATATTCTTGTTGGATACCAGTGACTTATGCCTGTAAGCCTAGCTACTCAAAAGGCTGAAATCTGAAGCCAGCCTGGGCAGGAATATTAACAGACTCTTATCTCCAACAAACCACCAAAAAAAAAAAGAAGTGAAACTTGGCTCAAGTGGTATAGCACTATCCTTGAGCAAAAAAAAAAAAGAAAAAGAAAAAACAAAGATCAGGGACAATGCCCAGGTCCTGAGCTCAAGCCCCAGGACAGGCACAAAAGTTAAAAAAGGAAAAAAAATTATATTCTTTATATTCTTACCTGATGAGGTAGTTCTAGCTAAGAATGAAGATAACAGCTTCTTATATATAATACAGGGACTTCACTATAATTACTATCAGAAAAATTTTTTAACCAATAAATATGTATATCTAGAATATAAAGGTCATGAATTAACATTATCCAACATAACCCAACATGAAGTCAGTACTTATTCACTTTAAGGACTTCTAAACATATATAACATATATAGTAGGGAAAAATACTCAACATTATTTGAAATGACAATACAGTTTTTATTGCCTTAGATTTTTTTTTTTTTGGTCAGTCATGGGGCTTGAACTCTGGGCCTGGGTACTGTCCCTCAGTTTTTCAGCTCAAGGCTAGAGCTCTACCACTTAAGCCACAGTGCCACTTCTGGTTTTCTGGTGGTTTATTGGAGGTAAGAGTCTTACAGTCTTTCCTGCTTGAGCTGGCTTTGGACCACGATCCTCAGATCTCAGCCTCCTGAGTAGCTAGGATTACAGGAGTGAGCCACTGGCACCTGCCAGTGCTGCCTTAGATTATTAAGCAGCTTGCAAAGAAAGTCCGAAATCTAAAACACTATGATCACAAATATTTTGGATAAAGAATATTTAGGAATATACTAATTCATATTCTAGTACATTAATTTTAAGAAATACAGGTTATTCCAGAGAAGTCTAAAAACTATATAGTAACACTTTTTCTTAAAACTGGGTTAAACTACAGCAACTAATGACTATTAATCCAATTATGTTTGTACTTTTGTGTGTGTGTGTGTGTGTGTGTGCGTGTGCGTGTGTATGTGTGTGTGTATGAGAGAGAGATAAAGAGAGAAAAGAGAGAGGGAGAGAGAAAGAGGGAGGGAGAGAGTGCTGTGACTTGAACTCAAGTCTTTTACTCTCATTTGGCTTTTTTTCCCACTCATTATTGGTGCTCTATCACTTGAGAAACACCTTCAGTTCAGTATCTTGCTCATTAATTGGAAATAGAGTCTCTCAGACTATTCTGCATAAATTGGCTTCAAAAAGCAATCACCAGATCTCAGCCCCTGAGTAGCTACAATCACATGTGTGAACCACTGGCACCTATCTTATTTGTCTACGAAATGTTATTTATTTACTTTATAATGCAATCACTAATATTTAATATGTTATTAAGTATTTCTTACCTGCCCCTTTCAACAGCCAAAGCATCAAGTTCATCAAAGAAAATAATGGAAGGGGCCACTTGTCTTGCTTTCCGGAAGATCTGGCAGAAAGAGTACCACATTATGCATAGGTTAGCAAACTCTGTAGTTGGTTTAAGTAGGAAAACTGTTTAGAACCACTCTATTCTATACAAATCAACTACTCTGTGTGTTTCACATAAAAGGTATCCAGCCCTTGACAGTAGATGTGACAGTAACTTCTTCAGTTATGATGACAGAAATAAGACTCCCAATAGCTATTCACATAGACATACAGGAAGCAATGAAGTAAGCAATTAGACCATCTCAATGAAAATCTCAGCTTCATCACTCCATGGCAAGTAAACTTTAGCAGGAATCTGATTTCCCTCAACAGCAATTTCTACAACTAGCAAATGGAGATAGTAAAAAAAAAAAAAAAAAAAAAAAAAGCCTAACTCAAAATATTATTTTAAGAAATGAATAACTGAAAGAAAAGAACATAAAATACTTAGCCCAAGGCCTGGAACACAGTAAAAGCTCAATAAATAAGAAATATTACCAATATGTTTAAAAAAAGAAGACTATAAAATCCCCCACAGATTAGTATATAAAACACTCCTACTGAAAAGTCAACATTAACACCTTACTCATTTCTTTGCTGATCATCTGGGGAAATAACTGATGATGAAATGCTAGGACAAGAAAAATGGTCACACCTTAGAGAAATACAGATTGACTCAAGCAGAAGCCAATCAAGTTATCAAAATCAGAGATTGACAAATATGTCTGGAATGCTGTAGGGAAATAAGCTACAAAGCAGGCAGCATCAGACTAAAGGAATCCACACCCATTTTTGGGAGACAGGGGCAGTATGATTACAAAAAACTAAAAATAAGCCGGGCACTAATGGCTTAGGTTGTAGCTACTCAGAAGGCTGAGATCTGAAGACCACCATTGAAAGCCAGCCAGGGCAGAAAATTCTGTGAGACAATATACCACACACAAAAAAAGCCCACAGTACAGGTGTGGCTCAAGTGGTAAAGCACCAGCACTGGGTGAATAAAGCCACGTGAAAGTGCAAGGCTGAGCTCAACCTCCAGTACAGGAAAAGACCAAAAAAAATATCAAGCCATTAGTACAAGGAAGTACTGCCATTTTCATGTTGTTATTATTGATGAATATTTTATGAAGTAACCATCATCTACTATTTTGTTTCAGTACTAGGGATTGATTCAAGATCTCTGCCATTGTAGACAAGATCTGCTCCACTTGCACCACTCTCTAGCTGTCTGCTATTGTATTTTGTTCCTGAGATAGTGTCTCACTGACTTTGCCAAGAATGGTCTTTTTCCTCTTCCTCCAGCCTCTCCAATTAAGAAGTAAGAGTACACCACCACCCTTAGCCACCCTGTTAAGGAGGGAGAACAACAACAACAACAACAACAACAAAAAACCTTAGAATTTTCCTCATATTCAAGTCTCTAATATTTCTGATTGGTACTCAAGCATTTCACCAATGAGGGCTATCTATTCTATTATTATTCGCATGTTCTTGTCCTTATCTTTTGTAAGCATATAGGGACTCATGTGAGGCAGATCAATCTCTGCTTAGAAAACTCAAGACTTGTCATCCATATACTAACTCCATGTGCCTTGACTTTGCACAACATTGCCAGTTAATATAGCTTCCTCCAAATGAAGAAGGTTCATCAAATGAAAGAACAACACATTACAAAAAGATCAGCAAAATCCAGAAACCTTAGATTTGATTTCAATTTGAACTAGCCTTAAATGTGGTGTATTTACACAATAGAATTTTCTTCATCCATTAGAAAGAATGATATTGGGCTGGGAATGTGGCTTGGTGGTAGAGTGCTTGCCTAGCACTCATGAAGCCCTGGGTTCAGTTCCTCAGTAAAATTCCTCACATAAACAAAAAAGGCCACAAGTTGCATTGTGGCTCAAGTAGTAGAGTCCTAGCCTTGAGGAAAAGCAGCACAGGACAGTACGTAGGCACTGAGTTCAAGCCCCAAAACTGGCAAAAAAAAAAAAGGAAAAGGAAAAGAAAAAGAAAAACAAACAATGACACTGTACCATCTGTACAGAAACAATGATACTGTACCGTCTGTACAGAAATGGAGACTTAAAAAAGATCACGTTAAGTGAAGTAAGTCAGGCCCAGAGAGACAAAGGCTCCATATTTTCCCTTATATGTGGAAGTGACATTGAGCTTACAAACCCATGTAAACCTACTGGGTGGCACGCAAGTATATACAAAAGTATTACTGAAATATGGTTGAGTCAGAAGATCTCAAATTGTGTAATTCCTTAGAAACGCAAAGTCAAAGTTCAGCAAAATAAAACACCAGGAAGCAAGTTCTTGAAATGGATGTGATGGGTCAAGAAGAAAGGGGTAGATGAATTAAGCTGAAAAGAGAGGGAAAATGCAGACAAGAATCCAATGTATATTCTACAAAATTAAGAAGAGTGAGGAAAGGGGAGGGCAGGGGAAGGATGGGTGAGAATGTTGAAAAGAATGACAATGATCACGATATACTGTATTTATAAACTGCTCTGTACAACCACTTAAAAGAAAATAAATACATGAATGAATGAATGACTTGGCTTTAGAATGTAGGAGCTAGAAGGATGACATATTGCCTAAACCATTAGGCAGATGTAAAATAAGTAGCCAACAGAGTGAACTTTTTGTAAACTATCTACTTTAAAGCACTGAAATGTCATTTTGAGATCATTTTTACTCCTTTATAAATGCTGACATTTTCATTTTATATAGAGAAATGATAGCAGTACCTACAAAATACCTTTACTGGGTAAAATAAATGTCAGTTATTATGATCATTAAAAACAAACAATATTATGGCTAGTCAAAAATTGTATTTTGAATAAAATAATATTTGCCTGAACAAAAACATGCCACTAAAACCTGGAATTGGGTATCTCCTAGTCTGTTACCCCAAGCACAATGGAAGCCCTGCAGGAGGGCATGTGGCCTCCTACACACGGTGCTGGGAAGGCACAATCTTCTTACCTCTCGAACTGCTCTTTCAGATTCACCAACATATTTATTCATTAATTCAGGCCCCTGCACAAAAAGAAAACAATTCTTGAGTGTCTTTGTAAACATAACCATGCATATTTCTTTTGATGAAGAAAATAAACATAAAAGGACAAAAGGGAACCAAAAAGGTGCTTTAGCTAATACAAAGAAAAGGCTGGAGACAAACATAAAACATGCTTTAACGCTTTATTCATGAACTACTTATATTGTTATGATGTATTTCTGACAGTGTAATTTAGAACACCAATGAAGATATAACATCTAAAGAGTCACAGGCCTAACTACTGGCTGGTTCTGAGAAATCTACTAACACATCATATCTAAACCCACTAGATTGATACCTCTCCCTTAGGTACATGAAGCAATCCAAAAATATTCTTCTTGGCTGGGAATGTGACTTAGTGGTACAATGCTTGCCTAGCATGCATGAAGCTCTGGGTTAGATTCCTCAGTACCACCTAAACAGAAAAGACCGAAGTGGCACTTTTGCTCAAGTGGTAGAGTGCTAGCCTTGAGCAAAAGCAGCTCAGGGACAGTGCCCAGGTCCTGAGTTCCTGATTTCAAGCCCCGTAACTGCCAAGAAAAAAAAATTATTATTCTTATGTTTCCATGATAAGCCACCAAAATAAGGCAAAGGAACAATGTCATCCCTATTACTATCTTATAGTCCTTAAATGTTTCTAATATCAATGTACACTAATAAACTTAAAAAAGAAATATCAATGGCATTACTGAAGAATGAGTATAAACTTAAATGACAAAAGTAATTTCAAAATACCTGGTAATATAGGATGTTCTTTCTTATCAATTAAGAACTTATTCTGGGAACAGATATGCTAGGATAACTCTTGCAGAGAGATACAGAAGGAAACTTAGAGAAAAACAATGCTGAAACACTGCTTACAAAAAAATTAAGTGGTAAATATCTAAAAGAGAATTAATACAAAAAGCATAAATTATAAACTGCTTATAAAATCACCAGAGTGTCAACATATGACTGATGGCAAGACAGAGGAAAGAGTCTGCAAGCAGAAAGATCAACAAGAAAGCTATTAAATATACTACCAAAGACACTGCTATGTGTTTATAGCCAAGAAGGAAAATTTAAAAAGATTCATATAAAATTGTAATTCTTCACACTGATTAAAATCATTCCGCATAGTTGCATATTACTTTTATAGTTCTGCACTACCATCCACATCAAGCAACACCAACCTGTACCTAAAATTGAATAAGCAAACTGATACTCTTCACTTACATGTGGTAAATTACACTTTTACCTAAATGGGAGCATGAAAAAGGCATTAAGAAAGTGAATAGAACAAGAACCAGGCCCCACCCAATACAGTAATCCTTAATTAAAAGAGTGAGTTTTTGTTGGAAGTGGGATATGGTAAGGAATTTTTATGCAGCCTTTATTCAGTTTAAGGCAAACTAATTAGGAAAGTTGTGTCCTGACAAAGATCAGAAAGGAACTCGGTGGTGTCATTGTTTTTATTATATTTATATGCTACTCTGTATTACCAGTGCTGTTCTTTTTTTTTTTTTTTTGGGGGGGGGGTCTGGTTGTGGGGCCTGAACTCTGGGCCTGGGTGCTGACCCTCAGCTCTTCAGCTCAAGGCTAGCACTCTACCACTTGATTTTTGCTTATGTGGTGCTGAGGAATTGAACCCAGGGCCTCATGCATGCAAGGCAAGCGCTCTCCCACTGAGCCACCTTCCCAGTCCCCAGTGCTGTTCTTCTAATAACTTTCCATTAAAGTTAAGGGTATGATATAAAATAGTAATCCAGTGAATACATTTCTTTAAGCATCCAATAAAACTCAAGACAATATACAGCTTTTAAATCATTTGCCTTGACTCAAAGAAAGAGGTTAGAGAATATAGGGATTTCTCTATATTCATCATTCATTGTAGTTATGGTACTAAGGATAATTTAAACAATAATGAAAAGTGTAAGATTATGATTTCATGATGTCTTTCCTGTTAAGCACAATGTCAGTATCTTTCAACTGTAAAGAGAAATCTTAATCTGGCTTGAAGATCCTGTATTAAGATAAATAGACAACGCTTTGTTAGAAATAAATATGAAAATATAGGAAGGAGAGGTAGAATCACTACAGATACCTGGAGGGAGGAAAATCAAAGATATAAAAATTTAACATGAGACTGTAGTAGGCAATGTGGAAAAAAAGAAAAACTTAGCTTTTAAGAGCAAGAGATTGCCTGGTAAAACAGGAAGCTAGAGGCTAATTCAAAACCAAGGCTTGCTCTTATGACTTCTGCTCTCAGGGACCCAACATAGCTACCCTAATTCCTTCAGAAGGCAATCCTCTCAATTACCTACGGGCTCCCAGTAGACCCCACATTCTCTCAGCACCCCTACATTAGGGGCTGAGATTTGACACAAGCACCTTTGGAGGGACACAACCAATGACAAGGATAGAATATTAAGCTTTTTTTGTGTGTGGCAAGATTTCACAAAATTGCTCAGAACAGCTGTTCCTTTTGTTTTAAAGAAATGGATAGTTAACCCCAGAGGGAAAGATATGGCAACACAGATTATGATCCATGTTTTCCTACTGGTAGAATAAAATGTGGTATGTGTCTTTGAAACTGAATATAAACTTTTGCAACCCTTTTCCAGAGAGCAAACCAATGAAGTCACCCAATCTTAACTTGTAGCCTTCAAAGCTGTGAGCTAGTGTGCATGGGCTCCAACAACAGATGCTGAAGAAAAAGGCCACCAACATACTAAATACATAATGGATACTCAGAATAAAATTCAAAGGGAGGGGGGGCTGGGAAGGTGGCTCAGTGGTAGAGTGCTTGCCTCGCATGCATGAGGCCCTAGGTTCATTCCTCAGCACCACAGAAGCAGAAAAAGCTAGAAGTGGTGCTGTGGATCAAGTGGTAGAGCTCTAGCCTTGAGCTGAGGGACAGTGCCAAGGCCCAGAGTTCAGCCCCCACAAGACACCACACACACACACACACACACACACACACACGTTCAGCCCCCACAAGACAACACACACACACACACACACACACACACACACACACACACACACACACACACACACACACACGTTTAAAGGGCTGCAGGAGTTCAGGACTGGGAACACCCTCCGAGCCAGAGAACAAAGGCACTTGGGCTTCAGCTCTGGATCCCACTGCAGGAAGTGCTGTGATACCCTACAAACCCTCAAAAGTCTCAGCACAGTCTGCAATTAGACACAGAGGTCCTTGCTGGCCAGACCAAGCAGCAAAGCAGCCTTGAGACAGCTGAGACAAATGTATAGACATCAGCAATAAGCTTGAACTCTGGAGTCCTGCCCCACATAAGGCCCTATAAGGAAGCAAAGCCCTTACTCCAACAAGCCTAAAACAGATTTCCAAAACCTGCATCTCTATACAGATAGAGATGTATAAGAATAAAAAGCTCACAAGTTGAAAAAACAAGTGTGAGCTAAATAGGTTTATTTTCTTTGTTACTGTCTCAAATATTTTGTTAAACTAGCAATAAATGCAATGATCAATCCTCTTTATTGCTTGTAATGGCTGAGATGAATATTTTATTTTTATTTTAAAAATATTAATGGCAAAGAAGCAAAGTGATTTGTATGAAACCACATAATTGAGAAAGGACAGTACTGAGCTTCACAGTTTCTTCACTGTTGAAAGCTGAAAAAGGAGCTATTTATCCTAAAATGTTTAACTACTTTCCAGGCAAAGAAGATAAAATAATGTAAGGCAAGTAAGCCATTCACAGAAACAATAAGAAAAATCTTATACAAAAGTCCTAGAATAAATTAAGCTGCAGAAATAATAATAAAAATGAAGGCTTTTGTTTTCCAGACCAATATTTTTTCTATAAATTACATTGTTCTGTTTTCTTCTAAGATCTTAAGAGAAAGGATAGAACCCATTAAGACTGTGTAAGAGCCGGGTACCAGTGGCTCATGCCTGTAATCCTAGCTACTCAGGAGGCTGAGATCTGAGGATCACAATTCAAAGCTAGCCCAGCAAGGAAAGTCCATGTGACTCTTAGCTCTAATAAACCACTCATAAAACCAGAAGTGGCACTGTGGCTCAAGTGGTAGAGCACTAGTCTTGAGCTGAAGAGCTGAGGGACAGCGCCCATGCCCAGAGTTCAAGCCCCACAACCGACCAAAAAACAAACAAAAAACAATAACAACAAGAAATTGTGTAAATATCAGCGATTCAAATTCAAAGGTACTGGCAGTGAGCTCACATGACAAGGATGAGTCTAATTCTTTTTAAATGCATGTGTTTCATGGGTTTATTTAAAAATAGTAATTTTATTAACATCCATCATAAACAAAGGACTTGTTTAGAAGCTGGGTGCTGGTGGCTCATGCCTGTAATCCTAGCTACGTAGGTAGGAGGCTAAGATCTGAGTATCACCATTTGAAGCCAGCCTAGGCAAGAAAGCTTGTGAGACCATTTGAAGCCAGCCTAGGCAAGAAAGCTTGTGAGACTCTATCAACCATCAAAATACTAGACGTGCAGCTGTGGCTCTAGTGGCAGAATGCTAGCCTTGAGCAAAAATGCTCAGGGACAGTGTCCATGCCCTGAGTTCAAGCCCTAGTACCGCACCAAAAAAAAAAAAAAAAAGGATTCCCCAAATCCTTAGACTATATATTTGTACTTCAACTTTATCCAGTAAGCAACTACAATACCCTGCTCCTGTGTGCTTCACTGATTTAAACTGCCAAAAATTAAGTACCAAAAATTAGTATATTTGAGCATAGTGTTTATAGCACTCCTACAAAGATTTCCATTATTAAGAGTTTACAAAACAACAAAAATATCAAAAGTACTTTACCTCACTTTTCTTTTGCTGTGTCTCATTATTTTACAACGTATCAGTCACAGATTCAAGTATAAGATTCATATCCATACTCTTGATAGTTCACCTTTTTTATCACTATTGGCTTTGCTCCAGTCTTCCCCAGGGCTTCGTAAATGTGTCTGACACTGGCTTACTACTTTAGGCTATTA